TCAAAGTCCACCAGCAAGACAATTGGACAGTCCCTCTTAGAAGGGCCTCATGAATTGAGGATAAATCCAGGGTATGGTGTGGCACTGGTGAACTACGTAACTGTCCTCTAGTTCCTTAATTTTTCCTCTCCTTAATATTAATGTCTTTATGTGTCATACCTTATTAATCATGTTAGATTTGGGTATGTTCATGTGAACATTCAAGATCGCTCGGTACATGGTAGTCAAGATAGATGACCCCTCAGAGACAATGACAGAAGTAAGGGTTCCCTGTGGGTCCAGGAAGGTGAGGAGAGGGAGTTAATAGCCTTGATGAGTGCATAAACCTACCCGATGGGATTGAATAACCGAACTATATGGGAAGGTAAGGGATATATTGGAATGAGTAAAATATCTCAATACAAATATTATTTAATTAAAAAATAAAAATAGAACCTCTTGGAAAAAAAAGAACCGAGTAAATAGTTTTCACATTGGTGGAATGCTAGAATATAGAATATAGAATGAGTTCTAGGAAGATGTTTTGTTTGAGGGAAAGCGAAGTGGCTTTGTCTCAAGGCAGCACTTGACACTGTGGGGCAAGTCGTAGAAGGTTTGAGGGGAAGTGAATTCTACTTGCTTTGGGTTTGAAAGCAAGGAACAATGAGCTGTCTTAAATTTTTATGATATTAGATCAATTTTAGTGAATTTATTCATAAGATATAAAATGTTACATGCGTAATAATACTTTCTACTACAATAACTGAGATCATATACTTCAAGAGCGGTTAAGTGAAGTAGACCATAAGCCCTATGTCATGGCAATTTCACAATGATCACTTCAGGGACATTATCAGTTCAAGTTGATATTTGGCCAATGGATAATGAGTTTAGAAAAGATTGTAAATTGGCCACTCCAACAATTTCTCCATTATACAACAGAGGAACACAACGAAAGATTTAGTAATTTGAAGGTTTGACATGATAGCTGAAACTTTTAAGAATAAGATTAATCAGTGTATTTTAAGTTCTTTCTTTTGTCTAACATTCCTTCTGTCATTAATTTAACATATTTGGCTTTACATTGGTTCAAAATTTTCCAATCAGGCTTTCATTAAATATGTATATATATAAGTATATATATATATAATATGAATTAACTAAGGGTATATCAAGTTTTGTCACCTACAGATAAGCTTTTGCTTTGCTTTGTTTTGTAGACCTGCTAAGTTATTTGGCCCCAAATTTTCCTACAAAAAGTGGACCATATTAGACCTATAAAAAAAGACCAACATAACAAACTTGGGACCCACCTGAATAAATCAAGATTTTTAGGACTCTGCTCTGGAAGGTGATGGGGGTTCATAGATTACAACTGATCCCCAAATCCCCAAGAACTGAAACTAACCACTGAACAGATGAAATATTCCTATAAATTCTTTATGTGGAAATATTATAGGCTTTGAGTATTCTCCATATATAAGGATGTACTTTTTCATTTCTCCAAAATTGTTTAGCTTATGAGTTTAGATATCATGGGTCTTAAACAGAGAGCTTCTATTAGCAAATATACCAAATTCATGGAAATCATGACTAGAGAAGCTAATGAGATTTAAGCAATGGGTTACAAAGTAGAATAGCAAGATGAGACTTTCTACTCCTCTAAACAGTTATAGTCTCAGAAACCCACCGGGGCAGTTCAACTCTGCACTACATGATCACTATGAGTCAGAATTGACTTGATGGCTGGGCTTTTTTTTTTTTAATGTGATTGTTGCAACTGCTTCTCTTCGATGAATTGTGTGATGTTAGCGATTTTTATGATGGGTCTCATGCAGCTGGGGACTGGGCCTTCCCCACCCCTGGAAGGGACAGATTCCATGGAAAAAGAGAGTCAGACCATTTTGTTTGAGTTTGGAGCAGGTTAGTGATCATTTCATCTGACTTCCCAAGCAGTGTTATCATTTGTCTCTCTGATGCCAATAATCTATTTATTACTCCTTTATACATCCTAAAAATCAGTTATCCAGAGGTGGCTTCATCTCAGTTGGGGGACAATTTTTTGTTTGTGGAGAGTGGGAGAGGACCAAATAGTTCCTGAAATATAGCATTGTCTCACAGTGATGCTAATTCATAGACACTCCTAGAATGGTGTTCAGAGACTTCCGTTGCAAATGCAGGACCAGAGGTGTGGAGGTTTTATCTGTCTCTGAGTAAGTGATTTCACTTCTTTGATGTGTAAATTAGGGCAGGCTAATCTGCTCTTGGGGAAAATGTGTACCATTACTCATTACCTCCCATGGGAGACTAGGCCTAAATTTAAAAATCTTTATAAAATAGATAATTTCCTACTACCTAAGGAACAAGTCCATCCACTCATGACTGATAAAATTTTAGAAACAGTTTATAAAAGTTTAGTATTTGATTGAGAATGAATCTGTTATAACATTGCTTCTGCATGTACAGCTTTCTCATCCCAATCTACCTCTATTTTTCTTTCAGATTTTTATTTAAATCTACTATAATCATCTCTACAATACTCTCTGTCTGACAACCAGGCTCTTCCCAGCCCTCGAAATCCAGAAGGAAATCACTGGAGGTTTATTCTATGTGTAGATCCTGAGAGTGTATTTGGGCTCAAGTAGAAAGCTTTCTGAACAGCTTTCTGCAAACCAGGGAGAGACTGACTCCCTTAGGTCCTTGTCTGGGTATGTCCTTGGTTGAGAGGTCACAACACTGGGGTCACACAGTCATGAGTCATGTCCTGACTGCCTTGGTTGGAAATCCCTGGACCATCTTGTAAAGTCTTCTGTTTAACATACTGTCCATGTAGCCCTCACTGGCCTGAGCCTGCTTCTGAAGAGCCTCCTGTAACTGTGTTGTATTGACCTGCTGCAAATCTTCCTGTTGTCATCGTTTTCTTTGCACTCCCATATTCTTGTTAAGTCTCCAAATCTGTACAAACTCTGGAATGTCATTTTGACCTTGTATGAATGGTCTTCATTTGGATCTGTGTCTTTGTCTTGTCTTTTCTTGTTTAAGACTAAATAAATGTTCTCTTTAAATATATTTGAGATTTAGCGTCTCTTTTGTACCTTAAAACACATATTAAAAGAACACTCTTTTGTGTATATTTAAGGCAGATTCTGAAAGACATCTTTGACCAGATACATTCAAATCCACAAAATCCAGAACTGGAGTGGCATTCAGAGCTCAACTGGTTCAGTGTTCGTTTGTTTTTAATCTCATCAAGGTCACTTGAGCAGTGATTCCAAAATATAGAAGCCTGACTCCTTTTATGGAGAATCTAGGCCAGTAAATCCAGGAAGGGTCTAATCTGGTCTGAAACCTTTTCTCAGGCGTAAGTAGCACAAGGATATGAGTCTTCATCAAATTCCCTTGCCAACTCACTGAAGGAGAGAATAAGTGTATAGAAGAACCCCTGGTGGCACAGAGGCTCAGGTGCTAATGGAAAGATTGGCATTTTAAGCCACCAGTTGCTCCTTAGGAGAAAGATGAAGCAGTCTGTCTCCATAAAGAGGACAACGTTGGAGATCCTATGGGGGAAATTCTACTCTGTCCTAAGAGGTTGCTTTGAGTTGGAATTGACTCAATGGCAAACAATTGTATCCATGATACAGGCCCAACTAAAACCCAGCCACCTGCCGTGAAGTCTAGGCTCACAACGAGCCCATGGAAGAACTTCTGCAGAGCGGAACTTCTCCATGGGGTTTTCAATATTTGTGATCATTCGGAAGTAGACTACCAAGTCTTTCTTTTGAGGTATCTTTTTTTTGGTGGGTTTGAACTGCCAATAGTTTGGTTAAGAGTCAAGTCCTTAATTATTGGCACCACGCAGGAACTCTGAACTACAGCTAGTCCTGATGAATGGCTGGTAGGGTTGAATTGCCACACATTCTTTTAGAAGCTAAGTGCATAACCACTTAACCAAAGCTCCTTCATCCTTTCTTAAAGTTAAGTAATGTAAAGTGGAATCGTTGGTCTAAAGCAGTTTTAAAAAATGTTCACCTCAGGTTGCTCATCAGAAACCATTTGAGGGTATGAATATGGGGATTTTGAAAACAATTCTTACACCAATGATCCCACTTTACATTAGAGAAAGAGATGAGGGGAACTAACATACTCAAAGAGATGAACCGACATAAAATCCTGTGGATACTCAGGATTGAAATACCTTCTGTACTCAAGCCCTATGACTCCCCATTGAAATAACTTGAAACCACCTTTCCCCCAAAGTGTTCTGCACATACATGACTCTGTGATGACCCAGGTCCTGTATGATTAATGACATTCACCTTTGAGAAATCCTGCCTATCATACTACCGTCCTGGAGCCCTGGTGTAGTAGTGGGTTACAGGGTCAGTCGTTTGAAACCACCAGCCACTCTGCTGGCTAAAGGTGAAGCTTTCTACTCCCATAAAGGGGTACAGTCTTAGAAGCTCACCGGCGCAGTCTTACCTTGTTCTATCCAGTCTCTATGCGTCAGTGTCAACTCATGGCAGAGTGAGTGAGTGAGGAAAGAAAGGCTCTGACAAGTTGCAAAGTTAAGACAATTTTCTTCATTTATTTTAGATTTCTAGCTCCAAATTATTTGAACAGAGAACACTTCATTTCCACAATTATCAAACAGCTCACCGAATCGTATCTTTGCAAAATAAATGTTCAGCAAATCTGACTTAGATAAATCTAGATTAAAGAAAGAAATTAGTAATAATTTTCAAAGCTACAAAAGCTACATTACAAAAGCGATACAGCAGGTACCTGTTATTGTCTAAGTTATAAACAGTACATACCTAAATTGATAGCAACCTAGATTACAATTCAATGTATATTATGGTTGTGATTTATCATGGTGGTTGTTGTATTGTTTCTAAGAGTACAGTTTTCTGGAAAAGCCAAAAACCCTCAAAGGCTGGAATAAGCAGCAATGAGCTGAGAGTTCATCAACAGCTGATCCTTCACAACCATTCTGCAAACTCCAGGCACAATCATGAATCTGCTTATGAAGGGAAAAGGAATTTAGATGACCAAGGCACCAAAGGGAGACATTTTCTCGTGTTGACGAGCCTTCGCAGGGCACTTTTCATGTCCTTGTTTCTCAGACTGTAGATGAAGGGGTTCAACATGGGGGTCACCACAGTGAATACGACTGCACCAATTTTATTTGTGTCATCGGGGTGGGAGGATGAAGGGAAGAAGTAAACCCCTACAATGGTCCCATAGAAAAGTAATACAACTGTCAGGTGGGAACCACAAGTGGAGAAGGCTTTCCATTTTCCCTCCGAAGATGAGATTCTCACAACAGCCCTGGCGATGCAGATGTAGGAGAAGAGGACCAGAGCAAAGGGGAAGGCAATCACAGATAAGCCCAGGGCAAACAACACAAGCTCATTGAGCATTGTATCAGAACAGGACAGTGTGATCAGAGGAGCCAGGTCACAGAAGAAGTGTGGGATCATGTTGCTGTCACAGAAGATCAATCGAGTAAGCAGAATGGTGTGTGTCAGGGCAACGGCATTACTGAGGACCCACGGGATGACTGTCAGCAAAGCACAGATTCTGGGCTGCATGATGGTCAGGTAGTTCAGAGGGTGGCAGATGGCCACAAAGCGGTCATAGGCCATCACCCCCAAGAGGAAATTGTCAATGACGACAAACACGATGGAGAAGTACATCTGTGAGATGCAGCTCTCATAGGAGATGGACTGACTCTTGGTCTGAATATTCATCAGCATTTTGGGCACCGAGGTGGAAATGGAAGAAATATCGGCGAATGACAGATTGGCAAGGAAGAGATACATGGGGGCGTGAAGGTAAGGATCCAAGCCGATGGCCAGAATGATGAGCCCATTCCCAGCCACGGTGACCAGGTACATACCCAGGAAAAGCACAAAAAGGCTCTTCTGCTGGTCAGCCTGGCTGGAGAGTCCCAGGAGAATGAATTCAGAGATGGCAGTTTGGTTTCTTCGATGCATAGTTCTTCTGATCTACAGAAAGAAACACAAGATTCCCACAGAAAAGCCAATAACTTGCCATTCAACTGGAGTCCTTTCAGGGGGGAGTACTTCCTCTACACTGAGAATAGAGAGAACTCAACCAACCAACCATCAAACCCAAAATGCCCTGCTATGGAGTTGATTTTGACTTATTGGAATATATTGGGTGTTAGGCACGTAGGATCTTGGAGTTTGAGCGGAACTGTTCTTGGAAGAGTACAATACATAGAGCCCAGAATTTAGGGGGCACATCCATTTGTCTCTCACTTCTTATGATGGGAGGCCCACTGAGTCAGCCCACTGTGATGAGCGAAGGGGGAGGATGGAGAGCAGTAGGCATGCCTTTATTTACATCCAGGGCACTGCATGAGTATGCATGTTTCCTACAGGTCACGTGAGTACTGTAGGAGCTGGTCAAATGTAAGCCATCTTGTTTGGACTCCAACCAAGAAGGCAGCTTGTCAATGTAGCCTGCAGTGTGGCCTTGGGGTGACTTTCTTATGGAAGATCAGTCAAAAAGAATGAAGGAAGAAAACTCCCTGATCTTGTCAAGGAAATACATAATGGAAGGGGCCTCAGAAGAACTCAAAATGAGTCTTATGAGAGAGTCAACACATCTGGCAGCTTGTCATACACTGGGCACCAAATGCTAAGACTACGCGGCCCATGCCTCAAGACTTTTGTCCCCTTTCTAATTCTCAGCCTCTCTCTCCCTCATGTCATCTGATTGGATGATTGTGAGTGGGTGTTAAGGAATAAAGAACAGCTATCCTTCCCTTCCCACTGCAGACATGTGTTGGGCTGCTAACCTCACGTTAGCTGTCTGAAACCACTGTCATCTCTGAGGGAGCAAGCTGGGGAAGGCCACAGGCGTAGATAGCTACTTTCTTCTATGGGGTTTCTAAGGGTCAAAATTGAGTGAGGGCTTTTCAATACCTGAAAGTGGGTTTGTAGTACCAAATTAATCCTCTTCCGAAAACTAGGGGCTTACCAAAGTATCACCCAAGTCAGAAAAGGGAGATTAGAGTTACTATTCATTTTTTGGTGGCTTATTGATAAGAATATTGCCATGAGAGACAAGAGGTTGAGGTGCGGATTCCTGTCTCCCAGTAGCACCCCCTCTCATTTCTCTCTCTGTTTTTTCAAAATTACTTGCCTCTCAACATAAAAATGATACCCAAGTCCTCCAATGATTTTTCTTTCCACGAAGAGACCAGAGGAAAGAAATAATCTATTTCTGGATTCTGGAAATTCCAAGCACCCTAGAGACTGGAGCAGGAGGGCTGAGGTTCCATTGATCCTGAGAAGCTTGTTTTGGAGATCAGAGAGAGGTAAAAACATGCACCAAGGAGACTGCAGGGCAAAACTAAAACACGGTTAAGAACCATAAAACCTCCAGATCTAAACCTCAGGCAAGGCAGAGATTGGCTTTAGAGGGTTCCACATTCTCTGAGCTGCAGGCTGGTCTAGGCTGGATTAGAAGAGGAAACTGTGATTTTGTGTGACAGTCATCTTCTTTTCCTGGTCGATCTCTCCTAACCACCAGTGGTCCTGTGTAAATAGTCGTGTCCCCCAGGCAGCTTTTATTTGGTTTAGAGCAAGGCTAAAATGTAAAAAGACTCACTCACCTTTGAATAGCAGGTGGTAAAATCCTAGGAAGCGAATGGAATCTAGAGCCAGTGTTTTCTCCCAGCACCTAACAAGGTAACAGGTGGCGACTGAGGGTTGTTCTAGTGTATTTTTCAGACAGACATTCTCCTCCCCTTCCAGGCACCAGAGGTAGTAGAGTTCTAATGCTGCACTCACATGGGACATTTGGCTCCTTCTGAATCCCTTGGGATAATGTCCCTGAAGTGTTTTCCCTCAAGAAACACAATGATTTTTCACATTCTGGTCCCGATGAGGTAAATGAGTCAGAATAGGCTTTGCTTTTCTGTTTCATTTTCAGGTACTGTTCCTGGTGGTGATTCCTAATTTGTAACTTGGTTGATTATTTCTCTTTATAGGAAGTGAATGGTTTGCACTGTAGGGCTTATGTTCCCAGTGTGCTGGTAAGCATTTTGTGAGTTCCTCCTTTATTTCCCCTTGAATGGCTAGTAGGATAAATCTGTTAAAATTCCAATGCCAGGCCTTTGGGTCTGACCTCTTAGGGAGGCTGCTGAGGTAATAGCTGCTCTGTGAGCTTCAAGATGCTGCCCAAGGACGACAAGAAGAAGAAGTAAGCCAGGAAGTCGGCCAAGAAAGACAAAGACCCAGTGAACAAATCCTGGGGCAAGGCCGAGGAGAAGAAGTGGTCCGAAGGTGAGGTTTGGGACACGCTCAATAACCTGGTCTTGTTAGACAAAGTCGCATCTGACAAGCTCTGAAAAGAAGTTCCCAACTATGAGCTTATCACCCCAGCTGTCATCTATGAAAGATTGAACATTGTATTTCCCTGACCAGGGCAGCCCTCCAGGAGCTGCTGAGTAAAGGATTTATCAAGCTGGTTTCAAAACACAGAGCTCAAGGAATTTACACCAGGAACACCAAGGGTGGAGATGCCCCAGCAGCTGGTGACGATGCATGAGCAGGTCCAAGCAACTGTATATTTTGAACAATAAAATTTTACTAGATCAAAAAAAACACTCTACTGCCATAAAATTATTCTGATTCATAGCAACCATATGTCAGATACTGTAACTACTCCCTAGGGTTTCCAAAGCTGTAGTCTTTATGGAAGCAGACTGCCAACACCTTTCTTCCACAGAGTGGCAGGTGGGTTTGGACCTTTGACTTTTTGTTTAGCCATTGAATACTTAGTGATTGCACCACCAAAGTTCCTTCTGGTAAAGGAGAAAGATCTAGAGATTTGAATTTCTCCACTAGAGATTTTGAAGTCAGACACTGTCCAGAGGAAAAGAGTAGACATTGATATTTTGTACATCTTGAATAAGTATCAGCATTGGAATGGAAATCTGGAAACCTATTGATTCAACAGAAGCTCTGGATGTCAGCTGCCAACCTAAAGATCAGTAGTTCAAACCCTATGGGATAGTTCTACTCTGTCATATACGTTTTCTATACACTGAATTCAATAATAACAGCTTGCTTTTATTTTTGTTTTTCAATGATATAAAGATGCTTTCATGAAGTCTTAGGCAGGACAAAGATGAGACAAAGGAAATTTATCTAGATAAGAAAGATCATCAGCATGAGACCATAATGATGTCCAAAGGATTCACACCCATGCTACTAATTATGGAACAGAAAATAAAGGGAATTTGTCACAAAACCACGTTCAGTAGCACATCAATTGAGGTAGTTAGTTTTTGTGCCAACTTGGCCGATAAATGCATGTGGAATTAATTGAAGGGCGGAGAGATAAAGGGCTTGGTGAGCCTCGCCTTTCTTGTCTCTTGCTCTTTGATCATCAGACCAGTGTGTGGCTGCCTTGCTTTTTCTGTGCCTCAACTTGCAAGCTACACTACTTGTGGGACACCTAACCTCTGGACTGTGTTGCTGTAATTTGAGGTTCCTTCAAGACCTGCTTTGCCACACAATTGGAATTTACATCTCTTGAGCTGGTGACTGTCGGACCCTGTCATCGGGTTGACTGTTGGTGACCTGCCTTGCTGTTTGCTGCCTGTGCCCGAATAGCCTGAATTTCTCTACAGAGGACTACCCGGTGGCCCTCTAGACTTGAAGGACTGCCAGTGTCTCACGGGAGTGAGTTGCACTGAGCCATTTGCATTGCTTTATAATTTAATTAACTGTTTATTTCTTATGTTCTATATCTATCTTTCTGTATAAATATATATAAAATCATTAGCATTCTGGTTTTGTTTCTCTAGAGAACCATGTCTAACACATCAGTTCATGACTGTTGTAGGGCTACAGAAGTGGGGAAGAAACCATGATTGGGGGACATACATGACTGCCACAGAGAAATACAGAATTGGTTCTGGGGATGTCAGATGACCTTGGTCAGAGTATGACTCTTGAAAAGGTTGCATTGGTACCCTGATTTCCATTTGTATCATGGTCAAGTAAGTCCACTGGCCGTTCTCCATAGGCTGACTCAGTAAACTCTCACTGATATTGAGTTGATTCAGATTCATAGTGACCCTATAGTGCACAGTACAACTACCACTGTGGGTTTCTGAGGTTGTAAATCTTCACAGAAGCAGAAAGAAGTCTCATTTTTCTCCTGAAGACCAGCTGGTGAGATTGAAATGCTGACCTCGTGGTTAGTAGCCTAACTTCTAACCTACAATACTATGAAGGTTCCTTGGGCTGATCAGGGGAATCATACCAATCTACTTTCAAACATTCTGATGGCAAAGATTTTTATATTTCCCACTAACTGTCAGAATGAACTCAGTAGACGCTGACTTTATGTCAACACTAAAAATGAAGATATGGCTCACACTGCTGCTTCTGGGAGCATAGATCGTGGATCCAAGCCAGACAAAATCCCTGACAACCTCAGTCTTTTCTCCATTCACCATGATGTTACCTATTGGTCAAGTTGTGAGGATTTTAGTCTTCTTTACATTGATATGTAATCTACATATAATCTACTGTAATCCTTGATCTTCATCAGCAAGTGCTTGAAGTCCTCCTCCTTTTCAACAAGTAAAGCTATGTCATCTGCAGCGTCCAGGCTGTTAATAAGCTTTCCTCCAATTCTGATGCTGAGTTCTTCTTCATACAATGTAGCTTCTCTAATTGTGTGCTCAGTTTAAAGTTTAACACTGCAAAATTCCGTTTATTCTAGTGAGATTCCACCTGGGCCTTCTGATGCTTCCTCCAGTATATAGTATTTTGGGGGACGAAATCAGTCAGACCTGGGGATTAAGCATTTCTAATCCATGAAAAATGCCATTGAACTTTGAAAATATAAGCCTAAAATCAAGGTATCCTAAGGCATGAGACCTGAATCAGGGAAAAAAATCTGTCAAAAAACACATGATCAGTGAGATAATACAGAGTAGAATACTGCCATTGGAGGTCTATTTGAAATGTTTTTCTTC